ACAACGGGTCAAGGTTTTTACCTTTGGTTCTTGTTGCGACATAAACAATGGGTCAAGGTCCTATTATAAACCTGATTTAGCTTTCCTGGAGTTTAGAAATCCCTTGTCGTGCTGTGGGTCTCATTGTTCTCTTTGGGGTTCTCATCAACCCTTTTTAACAGTTTTCAATACAATGGAACTTGTGCAACCACCTTTGTATTAAATACAACTACAAGTTGTTGATAGAGATTCAAACAACATTTCTAGTTGGTTTTTAACAAGATTCTAGGCTTTTAGTTAACAACAAACAATATGGTTTTGGGATCAAGCTTAGTCTCCATGTCTTTGCCATCCAGGCCTTTCTAGTGAAGCCGAGCGACATCGCCAGCTCCAAGCTTGGTTGGCACGAATACCTTACTTCACCAGATGAGCAACGCTTATCCATCTATGCCTACCAAGCCACTACTCCCAAAGTTTATCCTGAATAATCCCCATGAGCTTGGATTCATGGGTTTACTGACGATCTACATGTAGAAATATTAACCAGTTGTTGAAAATGATGAAATTTAATAAATAAGGAAATAATAAAGGAACGAGACCTCTTTATGTATGTCTGGCGATGCAGCCATGTATTGTAACATTAGATACTGCTCGGCCTAGTCATGTATTACAGTTTTAGATATTATTGGATCTTTTAGTAAATGCATGTTGAAGGTGTTAAATGGCACTTAGATTGAGGCAGGTGTTGATGATGTGGAAATTAGTTGAGTCCGAATTTAACCTTTTACAAAAATATCCATCAACAATTCTCACATTTTATTATATATTAAAAACAGTGTAAAGTTTACATGTTTCTTAATTTTTAAATAGGCTTCTTATATTTTTCTACAAACACAATCTTGCACCTATATTCAATACGACTTATGAAATTTTGCTACTATTGAGACCCAAAAATTGAAAAGGGACAACTTTTATTCTTGTTCTAATAACTCTTTTATTCACTAACAAATTTTAATCTCTTCTTTTAAAATTTAATTTCAAAATTAATCAAATTTAAAATCCTACTAAACTCTAATTTGAATTTTATGATAAGAAAACTCTTTTAAATTGTATTATTTATTGAGGATTCAAAATTTACTTAATCAAATTCTTAATTTAAATTCATAATTAATCTCATTATAATATCATTTTCAATTTCAAATTTTTCCCTACTAAATTCAATTTCAAATTGTTATCTCATTGCATCTAAATTCAATCTTTAGTTTTGATTATCTTTTTCTTATTATGAAATTTTTAATTTTAATTTAAAATAAACCTCATTATAATATCCTTTTCAATTCAATTTCAATTTGTTTTTTCTGTTCTAATTTCAATTTTGTAATTGCACTAAACTAGAGATCCTTCTTCAATCTGTGTCTTCACTTCGGATAAACCTGCAAAGCCCCAAGATGGGTCATCGGGGTAGACACTCCGATGCTTAAGTCAACAATAATTCGGTCTATCTTTGGACTAATGAAAAAGGAGCTTTAGGATGGTTTCAATTACCTTTTGACGTGACCCTTGGGGGGTATTTATAGGCCTTCGTGAGGTATCCACGTGGCTTACTTAGCAGGATGATCGGAGTGTGACGTGTCCCTTAAAGAGATAAATTCGGGACTGGCGACAAATTCGGGACTGGGGAATTATGTGATAAATCAGGTGTGGGGATGCCCACTGTATTTATCGTGCAGCCGTTTGACCGGAAGTGCTAGATTTAACTTCACTTCGGCTATTAAGGAATTGTTACAGTACGTCCGAGGTTAAGGACCTCGAACCTGTCCTTACACTATTCCCCCCCGAAGTCATTCACTTGTGAATGATGCTGTTAAAGATAATGAGAATAGTGCATGAATAGAAAGGAAGGGGGACAAAAATATTAAAAACGAGTTATAGAAGTAAAATAAAAATCTGTAACTCGAACGCATGTATGGCCGTAGCTAATAGTGAAGTATGTGACGGGGGTCATGTTAGCTATGCTCGAAATAAAATGTGACCAGAGTAATTGTGGCCGTAGCCGTGGTAAAAATAATGACCAGAGTCAATGTGACCGGAGCCATAATAAGAAATGATAATCGGAATCATAATGGCTGGAGCTGTAGTGAAATTTGAAGACCAGAGTCATAGTGGCCGGAACCGTAATAAAAAGTAATAACCGGAATCATAGTGGCTGGAGCCGTAATAAAAGTAATGCCGAAGTCATAGTGGCCGGAACCGTAATAAAAAGTAATGACTGGAGTCATAGTGGCCGGAGTCATAGTGGCCGGAGTCGAAGTAAAATATCTGACAAGGAGTCACAATGGCCGGAGTCGAAGTGAAACACTTGTAAGTTAAAAACATAATTATGAAAGTGAACAGAAGTGTTGAGGTGAGCTTAAGTGGGCCTGTTGATAAAGTCTGACGTAGGGTTATTATGTGACATGACAGCTATCTGTTGAGAGACGTGTACAATTAATACGAGCTTAAAAAAGGTAACTGTGACAGTCAGACAAACGGAGTGGGAAACGAACCGTCGAATTCAAACGACTCCCGTTAAGGTTACACCATTGAATTCGAAACAGCGTGAATAAGGACCGTAAGATTAAACTAATCTCAGCCGTTGAGATTTATTTTTGCCCTGAGGTATAAATAGCCATTTTTCAATAAAAAGAAGTTTACTTTCGTTATATTTTTTGCAAAATTTCTGTGAAAACTTTGTTCTTCTTGCGCCTGAGCTGTTACATCTTTTGTGGATTTCTACATCAAGTTTTCAAAACCGAAATCAGGTAATGTATATGATTCTCTGATTTTGATTTTAACGAAGAGTCACTCTCCTTTCTCCCTTTCTGTTTTTGATTTTGAGTCCTTTGAAGGAAGTTAGGGTTGGGAGTGAGAATGATATTGGGTGTGCGTTATATTTTCTTTTTCTTTTTCTTTTTTTAAGGGGTCCTGACTTCATTCCTCCTTCTACTTCATGCAGAAATTGAGGAGATGTCTTTCGAAGAAACAGTAAGTGTTGTAGGAAGTGAGGTAATGCCTCTGGAGTACGGTGGGATGGACTCATAGTGTAGTCCATCTAGCTCGGAAAGGATAGTGGAGGAAGTGGGAGGAGGTGAGGTAGTTAGGGTTGGGGGGGATAGTGTACCCATAACTGTGGTAAAAGTAAAGGGTAGGAGAGAGAGGTGCTATGATGTAGATGCAGATATCGTAGGTGAGGTAAAACAATATGAGTTTGAGCTCGGGACCAGGGATAGCCTGGGGTTTTTGGTGGAGAGTTATGAGATCTCTTCCCAAGTGTTAATTAGGCCAGCTAGGGTAGAGGAGAGGGCATGTTCTGCTCCTCGAGATCATTGGATGCTTATGTATGCCCACTATTTGGCAGCCGGGCTTAGGTTTCCAATTCCTGAGTTGCTAGTGGGTCTTCTTTTAGATTACAGCATAGGATTGACATAGTTAGTCCCCAACGCTATGAGGGTAATAATAGGATTTTTAGTTTATTGCCGAGCTAAGGGGATTACTGTGCCAACTGTAAATATGTTTAAGTATTTTTTGTTTTAAACGGGGGTAGTAGGAAAGATAAGGGGTGGTATTATTTCACCCCGAGGGTAGCAAATAAGGAGAGTAGGGCATTATTTACTGCGGGTCCTTCATCCATTAAAGGATGGAAGGAAAAATTTTTCTTTATAGATGATACGGAGTAGGAGAGGGGGGATGCTGAGGTAGAAATGTTGTCTTCCTGGAAGGCTAGGAGAGCCAACCAGAATAAATTTAGTTTAAATGAGGATGAAGAGGAAGAGGTGGGGAAGTTGGTGAGGGAGGGGGGGAATTTAGTAAACATCACGTACCTCACCAACGCAGAATGCATAGAAGCTGCTGAGCTCTATGGGCCAAGCACTTTAAGTGAAGGTTTATTTAGATTTTATATGGTAAATTTTAATGTAGAGTATAGGGTGGTGTGATTGATATTGTGTTTTCTTGTTTTGTAGCTGAAATGGACAAATTTTTGAGTGCTGTTGGAGGAGTGGCCATCTCCAAGAAGCCAAGGAAGAAGTCAAGGAAGAAGTCAAAGAGTTCAACCAAGCAAGTGGATGAGGGAGGAGTTGGAAGGGAGGTAGCGCCCAGCACTTCAGCCGGGGTGGAGGAGGAGGTGCCAAGGTTGGAGTTGAAGAGGAAGAGTAGGGATGAGGGAGGGGCACTACAAAGGAAGAATAGGGTGGTGGAGGAAGAGGAAAGGGGAAACGAGGTTCCCCAGTTCGTGCCTCAGCCTCCTCCTGTTGAGCTTGACCCTGAGTTGAGGGAATCTAAAGAGGGGCTGAGGTGCGAGCTCCTGGCAAGGGGAAGAGCCTTGTTCCCCCTTTATCCTTTTAAAGCAGTCTGTTTGAGGCGAAGAACATGACGGGGGCTAGGAGGTTTATCAATGCCACCTTCCTCGAAGTGGACAAGTGTCACGCACGAGACGAGGGTCTGAGGTACTGTGGGGCTTCGATGGTGAAGCATGTTTTGGACGTATGTTAAATTTATTTACTTGTAGTTGTCAGTGTGTTTGTTTTTTGTTTGTTTGTTTTTTGTTTTTTTTTTTTTTTTAACTTTTGCTTTGAATTGCAAAGCGCGAGCTGGGTGAACAGTCTAGCCCAGGAGTTTATGGAAAGTGTGAAGGAGCGCTCCCTCTTGCAAAGGCAGTGTGACCAACTGTAGAAGTAGAAGGAGGAGCTGGAGATGAAGAATAAGGAAATGCAAGAGGCGCTGGACGAGGTGGTTCCAGCAGTGAAGCGGCTATAGCAGGAGAGGGCTTCCCTGAGTACCAAGCTCGTCTTTGAAGAGAGTAAACGAAAAATCTCTGAAAGCGAGCGTGAGGCTTAGGAGAAGGAAATAAGGCTGATGAAGGAGGCTTATATGGAGCTGAAGAAGAATGTGCAGCTGTTGGTGCACGATGGGATGGAGGAGCACATCAGCAACTTCGTCAGCTCCAGCTCATTTGACAACATTGTCAACCTTTACCGGCTGCCAACTGCCATCCTCGCCTTCACAGACTGTAGAAAGAAGGTGAAGGCTGAGTATCCCGAAGTGGATATTACAAAGATCAACTTCGACGAGCAAGAAGAGGGAGTGGAGGAGAATGGTGAGAGCATGTCAGCAGACTTCCGTCCTCAAATCAAACTAAGGTGGGATCATGATGCAGACGGACGCACTATTTTCCCTCCAAATTTCGACTTCGAGTTCGTTGCAGTGGAAGAAGAAGAGGCAGAGGTAGAGGGAGATGAAGTGGGGGCCGGAGTTGAAGGAACTGAAGTGGATGAAAGCCAACCAGCTCCAGAGGTGGAGATTCATCCAGTTCCTTCTGACGATGAGCAGCCTCCTCTGCCAGACGAGCAGCCGCCAACACAGCCACCTCTTGCAGTTGAGCAGCAGCCAGTTCAGCCACCTCTTCCAGCAGAGGAATAAAGAATTTTTGTTTTGTGATTTTTTGTTGTAATAACAGTAAAACAATTTATTGTAATACTTTTGTTTCTAAAGTTGAATGACAATTTTGTTTTTGAAATCATGTGTGAAGTTTGTTTTACATTTTGGTTGCTATATATAAGAATTGAAATTACTTCAGATATATTTTGAGGGGAAGTAAATCATGTCAAAAATAACAAAGAGGTAAATCACTTCAGGGATGAATTAAAGAGAAGTAAACTACTTCAGATAAACTAAAAAGAAGTAAGGCACTTTAGACAAAAAAGAAGTAAAGCACTTCGGATGTGAAGTAACTTTCATTAATAAAAGTGAAGTTCAATGAATGAGTGTTAGACAAATTGACCTCGGATACACAGAATAAGAGGTAAAATGAATTTCAACAATCATGAAGTAAGAAGTATAAAAGACAGTAAGACATAGAGCACTTGAAAGAAGTTTATTAGGGGTAAAATTTCTTCAAGTTATTGATATTCCAGACTCTAGGAACTCTCTTCCTTTCAGCGTCTTGGAGGACATAGGCACCAGGGTGTGGCACTTCGGCCACTGTATAAGGGCCTTCCTAGTTTGGGGCCAATTTGCCAAAACGAGTTTCAAACCCTGTTAGGCGAGCCTTTCTGAGAACAAAGTCTCCTACTTTGAATGTTCGAGGGCGGACTCGTTTGTTATAGAAGTTGGCTAATTTCTGCTTGTATACAAGAGTTCAAAGCCGTGCTTCTTCTCTGACTTCGGCAAGCAGATCAAGGTTTTCCCAAAGCAGTTGTCCATTTCGCCCTTCATCGAAATGGGTGACCCGAAGCTTGGGACTCCTATTTCAGTAGGAATGACTGCTTCGGTACCAAAGGCCAAATGGTAAGGTGTTTCACCTATTTCATGAAATTATATTCTTTAGAATATGCTTTACATATTATGCATATTTGATCTAGGGTAGAGTCACAAGTGAGGAAGTGAGATAGAATGAAAATATAACGAAAGGAACTTGGGTTGGAAATAATACATGTGGCAGTTCGACTCGTTGTTCTATATGCCCAGAGGACGTTGTTGAGCTCGTCTGCCCACTTGGCCTTGTGCTGTTCCAACCTTTGCTTTATTCCTTCTAAAATGGCTTTATTAACAGATTCTACCATACCATTGGACTCTGGATGGTAAACCGAGGTGAATTGCAATTTAATCCCATAACTGGAGCAGAAATCTCTAAATGAGGAGCAGTTGAACTGAGTACCATTGTCAGCCACAATCTGGTTCGAGATCCCATATCTATAGATAATTGAGTAGAAAACAAAGTCTTCGACCTTTCTGGAAGTAAGACTAGATAATGGCCGAGCTTCAACCCATTTCGTAAAATAATCCACACCAACAATCAGATGGGTTACATCTCCTACCCCCTTCATAAATGGACCTAAAAGATCAAGTCCCCACTGAGAAAATGGCCAGGGTGCTACCAGATTAGTGAGCTCTTCTGCTGGCTGGTGAGTTAGATGTGCGAAGAACTGACATTTCTGACACTTCTGTACAAACTGAGTGGCATCTTTATACATGTTGGGCCAATAATATCCTTGTCTAAGGACTTTATGAGCCAAAGTTCGAGCACCAATGTGACTTCCGCAGACACCTTCATGCACCTCCCAAAGTGCGTGATGGGAATCAAGACAACAACATATCTACTACGTCATGTGATCC